TATTGATAGGGTCCTTTTGGTGCTTAGTTGAGTGGGAAAAAGAAGGCTTTTTCTTTTATAAACGTACGATGGGTGCTCGTGTGGAGCATGTGTTGGGGGAAAAAAAGTTTCATTATTATTATTATTATTATTATTATTATTATTATTATTACTTTTTTAATTTTAAGGAAAAAATGGTGCTGCTGCAATAAAACAAAATAAAGGTTTTGAAGGTGTAATTTTGTGGCAGTGGGTAGCTGGTACAAATTTTTGTTATTTCAAGCTAATTTGTAACGTTCTGTGTCCTGTTTCTTTTTTCTTTTATAAATAAAAATAAAACAACTTTTAATAAACATTTTTTTTGTTTATTGTTCTTTTTAATTGAAAAAATAAACAAAAATATGTTTGGTAACAATTTTTTGTTTATTGTTATTTAAAATTTTAAATAAAAAGAAAATCATATGAAATGAACTTTTTTGAATTCAACTTTCAATTTTTTTTGTGTCATATTTAATTTTTAATATTTATTATAAGTTAGGATAATAAAATAATATTTTTATTTGTGTTTTTGAAAAAAAAAATATAGAAATGCCAACAGAAACAAAAAAAAACTTGATTTTGTTGTTTTAAAGATTTCTACACCATTTTTAAAATGTTATTAAAATATAAGAACAGTTATTAAACTCTTGTGTTTCTAACAAATTAGAAACAGGGGGAAAAAAGTTAGAACGTTGCTCAAATTTCTTCATTTGTTTGCGAGTTCTGAAGTTTTGTTTATTTTCCAAGGCCCATGGGCCGTATTATGTCAGCAAAACGGCAACATTTTGGGCTGTTCGTCCGCTGCTTTAAACTTCAAATTTCGGTAAATCCAATGGACTTGGGCCTTCCAAGTAGTCCGCAGCTCTAAGCGGTCCATTCTTACAGTTAACAAAAAAAAAAAAAGAAAAAAAAGAAAATTTACATTTTGATTGGGGGTGATCATCAGTTGACCAGGATCGGTTTTATGGAAAAATGGATACCGAAACCAACTTGATCGGTTTTCACAAATAGAAATGGACCAATTCTTTTTCTTGATTATGATGATCGACAGACCGGTTGGTTCAATCGGTCAATTTTCAGTTTAAACCATATCTATTATTATTTTATTTTTATATTTTAGGAATTAAAAAAATGTGTACCCTAAGTTAAGTATAATAATGAGACTAAACGATTTTTGAGGAAAATTAGATTTGAAGAAATAGAATTTGAGTGCGAGAAGAAACAATTTTATGGGAAAGTTCAAACAAATTTTCAAATGAAGGAAAATTATTGCGGTTTATTTTCTGACTCACATTAATAAAATATACATCTCTGCCCGTTGAACTATACTCATGTTGGTATTTTTACCGTGAGCTAGGGCCTACCTCTAAATTATTCTAGAAAAATAATGGATAAATATACCTCGTTTTCTTAAATATTGAAATTTCATTTATTTATTTATCTATATTTTTTATTTGTGCCCTTTCACAATAACCATTTTAACATTTACCATTCTTGGCTAGCACTTTATGTCTATGACTTATTCATTATTTCGATAAATAAATTTTGAAGTATTTAGATTAAGGAATTATCAATTTTAAGTTAGGCACTCCGAATTTTACTCTCAAAATTGTAATATATTCTTAAAAGAATTTTGAATGGTTCCATTTTGATATTTAGATTTTTTAATATTATGTTGTAGTCTTTGAACTTTGCTTACACTTGTTTTAGTTATAGATACTAATTTATCATTAATTAGTTAACGTGAATTTGAATACATTTTGAAATTCAAATACATCACCTACAATCTATTATATACATAACTTTAAAATTTTATTAATATAGATATTTATCCATTCGATAAAAGAAAAACGTGTGATAATATGTTTCTTTTAATAAATAATCTTTAAAACTTCCGTACTTATTCTATTTTTTATTATTAGAGAGGTAAATGATCTAAAATCTATATATATGTCGTAAGGTAAATAACTTTTTTTTAATTACTGAATAAAACCAAAGTAAAACAGACCTATATAGGTCATATGTATATGTATATGTAATTTCGTCATAATTGAAATACAAAATTTTAATTATAAATTTGAGTTGATTTTATTACACATAAGTTATTTGAAACCAAATATTTTCTTAACAAACTTATGCATTTAGGTTTCCATTCTTCAAATGGGTCTTGATAAGTCAACGCAGGTGATGACTAAAATGATGTAATTTTATTTGAGAATTCAAAATATATAAAAATGATATAAAATCAATTCAATAATTAACCGGATGGGACGATGGGAGTAAAAGTAATAAATTAATAAAATAATTTAGGTGGCCGTTGTAACAGTTTGACAAAATTATATCGTCTCTTCAACAGCCATCAACTGCCAGCCAACGCCAACAAAGTACACTACTAATTAAATTTTCTCCCAAGTCAATGGAATTTCATGTTGCCGTGTGCCTGCCCAACTTAATAAAAATAACAAATTTCTTAAAAAAAAAAGTATTATTTTCCCCATACACTTGCTTTCAAACTAATAAATATTCAATTGAGAAAATGTATAGAGGTTGATATAGCTCACAATCACACTTCTAAATTTTCAAGTTAATAATATGACAAATTGTTTCAATTAAACCATTAAATATTAAAAAATGCACAACTATTTTAATGAGATTCTCTATGAAATGAGGCATGAAACGGAGCTACTACGAAGAAGTTTCAGGAGTTACGACCGAAACCTCGAGCTCATATTGGTCATGGGTTGAGAACAAGAATTGAATTCTATGAGACCTAATTTCCCGTTGTTCTTCAGTAGCTCAGTGGTAAAGCGGTCGACTGTTAACCGATCGGTCATAGGTTCCGTTTGTACAACTGAATTTTTTTTTTTTTTTTAATGATATGATGTTGAATGACCAAAATATTATATGCATTTAAAAAAATGTTTATTTTTGTAGAAAATGTCACAAACTTAACTTTTTTCTTCTTCTCTTCCTTTTTCTTTTTCAAATTCAAATCAAACTAAATTATGTTATTTATGTAAAATTTAAACTTCCTTATTTTCATTTTGTCATTTACATAATTACCTCATTTTTTTTAGCGCCATGAGTTTTGAAAACTATAATATTGATCATTAAAAATGTTGGTTTACATAATGACGCTGAGCTGATTTTTATGTTATATTTATTTTCTCAATATTTCATATGAATTTAATAAGTCAAAAATGATAAAATAATATTTTTATTTATAGAAAAAATCAGAAACCAGAACAATAAATATGAAAACTTATTTTATTATTTTAATAATGTATACAAACTTTTAGATATGTTTCTTAAAAATGACAGTTACCAAACGATTTTTCTTTTTCCTCTCTGAGAAAAGAGACAGGAACCAAACGATTTTCAGAATAATCTCACTTAAATAGTAATGAAAAATCTGGAATGTGAAAGGAACCAGAATCAATTCGTTTCAATAATTTCACTTTTGTTTAATGTTCAGTGATTTTACCTAGAAGGTTGGAAAAGTATCTGCACCAACGATTGTCATAATCATACATCAAAGACCAATTACGTCCAGACACGTGGACTTTCATGGCCCAATGGAGAACCAATTGATGCCAATTATCTATTTATAATTAAATTATTGAGATGAAATATCAACTACGTTAAAAATTTTGATAAATTTTCAAAAGCTATAGTTTATTTGGTTATAATATTTTAGAAAATTAATAATCTTGGTTAATCTCATCCTAACTCAACTAGTGAATCTATATATCATCCACTGATTAAGGTATATAACATCAATTAAAAGATAGAAGGTTTGAATTGTTAGAAAAAAAATAAAATTATGCTTAATTTTAAAAAAACTAAATTATGTAGATAATAAAAAATACGCTAAATACATATTTTCATCTCTAATGTTTTAGTTTTTTTTCTTTTGTCAAGTTGAAATTAATTGCGATACTTTTATTTGTTTGGTTGATTACTACTCACATCTCTTTGCGTAGCAAATTATCTTTCTGCTCTCATGTTTATAGATTGACTCAGATTTGGTTTAAATCGAAACTAAGTTATTTCAATTGAACCACGTTTGAGGAGAAGACTATCTTTTAATCAAAATATATTACAAATATATTTTTTAGATAACAAAGAAGTAGAGAATTGGAGCTTTCAACCTTAAGAAAGGTATATGTTGGAAACTAGGTAACGTTCTTTATCAATGGAAAAGACATATTTTGTACAATTTAAATTTCCTTAAAAATTCGAGAAGATATCCTGATGACTTAGGATTTTTGCTAGATTCAAGAGAAGATAATAAGAAATCTTGATTGCCTCAGGATTTTTTGTGAGAAGATATATCCTTCCTATTAACATTAGGCTTTTCTCTCAATAAATATAATGAAAATACTCATAATTGGTACGCTACAAAATTCGTTCATATTGCTATACTTCACTGGTAAATATCTAAATTTCTACATCAACACTCCTTATTTGTTTATTATTTTCAATTTTATTGAGAAACTTAAGAATTTGACAATTATTTATGTTTTATATATCTCAATTTTTAGAAACGTTTTCATAATTATGAAGAAATATTGACAGTAACATAATTAAGTTTATTGTCTTTTTTCTCGTTTTTAATTTTCTTCCAAACATGAATAAAAATATTGTTTTAACCATAAATAATTACTAAATATAATTATATTTTTATTTTAAAAAATAAAAAAGGAAATGTTACTAAACCACCTATAAATCACAACTAGAGTAGCCGGATTTGATTATCCTGAATCATTAGCCAAAATCAAATTGTAAAACAATTGTCAAAGCAATAATTTACCGCCACGTGAGAATCCCAAAAGCCTCTAAAATAAAATAAAACAAAAAAAAACAAAACAAAATCCCATATAAATCAATTATCCAAAAATCATAAGGAAAAGTAAAAAACGTTGCACGCTGTACGGCCAAAATTGTATGATTATTAATTATAGTTTTAAAAAATCTTGGGAAAGTCTAGGTCCAGTAGGAGTGGACAGAGAGGGAAAGTAATTCGGGAAAGGAAACAGAGAGGAGTTTCTAGAGAGCTTATTTGGCCGATTCCAAACTTTCAGTTCCAAATTTTTTGTTAATTAACCCTAAAATCCACTCACTGCTGAAGCAAAAAATCCCTGTCCCCATCATAAAATCACAGTTTCTTCTTCCAATTACAGAGATGGAGTAGGACAGAAACAGCCGCCTAATTTGTACGCACTCACAGTTTTCCTTTCGGCAGAGGATTTTGATTTCTGGATACAGCCCTAACAATTCCCTTTTTCTTCTTCTTTTTTCTGTTTCTGATTTTTCTGTCTCATTTGACGGTATTGATTTGAGGTTCAGTTGTTGGTTGGTGCTGAATTCATCGATGAAAAGTCATCGTAGGATTGGAGACGAATCTCGGATCGACGGCGGGGCTGCTTAGATGCACGTCTCTGGAGTATCGTTGGATCTCAATTGGTTCCTGCAATTGATTTTTACAGCGTTTGTGATTCTCTTCGGATTGCTGCACTTGGTGAAGAATACGGCCTCTAAGTACTTTGAGGTCGACGCGAATTTCGAGGCTTCCGGCGGAGGACCGGCGGGAAGAGGAGCGAGAGGAGGAGGAGGAGACGGCGGTGACTGTAACTCAATGTCCGGCGATTCTATGGCCGAGACCGTTTGCGTCGTCTGTGGGAATTTGGGCTCGAAAGTGTGCTCGCGCTGTAAGGCCGTTCGATACTGGTGAGTGCTATTCTTTCCAAGTTTACATGAATTGCATTGCCCATTCCTGTTGAGTTTAATGTTTAAATTTACCCTTTATTATCAGTTTTTATTTGTTTGTAATAGTAGGCAAATTAGGCAACAGCAACCTTTTTTGGGTTATAATTGTTACTTGATCGACTTTTTCTTAAGTTTGCCTTTTATTCTCTTTATATGGTAATAATGTACTTGATCTGTTGATTATACAGATCCAATCTTTTTTTTTTTTTTAAACTTTCAATATTATAATAATTTACTGTCTGTCCTGAAGGGGCTTGAATTGACTTTAGACGTTTGGTGATATGTAGCAATCTGAACACTCATGATTATTTTTGAAGTTGGTCTCAAGAATAATACTTGTGCGGGTGGAGTGTGAATTATGGACTATTTCGAGGGGGTTTCGAGGTTTTTTTTACTCAATCTTGTTCTGGTGTATTAGGCACGGGTACTGAAGAAGTAAATTTGCATTTTGCGTTTACAGAACTCTTTATCAAGCTTGTGATGGGAGTGTTGGGAAACACAAATGCGCACAAAATTAAACAAGAGAATCTGTGGAATTTTTTACTTGTACTCCATGCTGATCTTTGTGTTCCAGCTATTTATGGTTACGCCTTCTTAGTTTTGCTCTTACATTAAACAAGAGAACCTGTGTTTTTGATGATCTGATTTACAGTCTACAAGCAAATTGTAGCAGCTACAAGGACGAGTTTCCTTTATTTTAATTTTTTGATGAATAAACGAATGCATTAGTTGTTTGACATTGTTAGTCTTTAGTGACCAAAACCAGCATCTTGCTTTTATACAAGGTCAAAGCTTTCTTAAATGGGCCTTCTTCTGTCTTATGCTTCAACTGCATTTGTATTTATTATTCTTATTTGTTGTTAGGTGATATATTTGTTTTGATGTAGATGTATTCTGATGCATTTTTTTCTTCTTAAAATCATTTATAATATAGTTCACCAACATGTCAAGAAATTCATTGGAAAGCTGGCCACAAGACAAAGTGCAAGGATTTTCAAGCATGTAGGAACATAAATGACTTTGAAACTGCAAATAACCACAGGGATTCCAAAGCTTCTACTACAGGGAGCAAAATTTTTTCTGCAATCGCTCTGGTACCTTCTCACAGGACCTCTAAGCATATCAAGCAACCAAAAGATGTATGTTATCTTCATGTTTTATCCTAGATTGATGATGTTTTCTCTTTGATTAATATTGTTTGATATCATACCTTATAATTAAGTTCATCTTTTTGTTTTTATGAATCAGATTCTTTTTCCCTATGATGAATTTCTGAACCTCTTTTACTGGGATAAGCATCAATTTCGTCCTTGTGGACTTTTAAATTGTGGCAATAGGTTAGTATTTCACTTGTTTCTAACAATTATACCATTCATGAATTGCTTTCAAGTTTCAATCACTTGTGAGCTGGATTATAACTTGTCTGTTGTAGGAGTGGTAAAGATTAACTCTTTCCTATTTTCTGCAGTTGCTTTGCCAATGTGGTTCTACAGTGTCTGTCCTTCACCAGACCACTTTTTGCCTTCCTTTACGAGAAAGGGCACAAAAACGAATGTAATCTCAGTTTGGGCTTTTTCATTTTCTCCCCCCTATTTGGGCCTTCGTCCTTATATGCTTATGATATAGTGTCCTCTTTTATTCAGGCGTACGTGATGATTGGTGCTTCTTATGTGAATTTCAAACACATGTCGAAAGAGCTAGTCGAAGTGTTCAACCCTTTTCACCCAATAATATTATCCTCCGGTTGCCTAATATTGGTGGAAATCTTGGCTATGGAAGGCAGGAAGATGCCCATGAGTTCATGAGGTATTTGTCTCTCTCTTTTTTTTTTGGTAGTATGATATCTTGCTGGTAGGGAAAATATAAAAGTCTTGTTTGTTAGACTAGTTAATTGTACAATTATCTAATGGCCAAGTTCTGTTTTACAGATTTGCTATTGATAGAATGCAAATGGCGTGCCTTGATGAATTTGGTGGAGAGAAAGCTGTTCGTTCTCATTCCCGAGAGACGACCATTGTTCAGCACATTTTTGGTGGCCAACTTCAGTCCCAGGTAATGCATTTTATGTATAGGCCTTCCCATTTTAGGTTCATTTTCAACCTTTTCTTTCCTCTCTTTTTTCTTGTTGGCTGCATTTTGGAAGAAGAATCAATTAGTCTTTTGAGCTAAGCCTTGTTTAAAATTGTAACACGGCACGTGTTAATATGTTGCCAATATCTGCCACGTGGATGAATATTGTTTCACCGAGAAGTTTCATGTTATGCCTTTATTTCCTTTAGTATGTATATTTAGAGAATTCAATTTGTTGTGTTTAGTGGTACTGACTAATTAGGTTTTCAATCTTGATATTTCAGGTGATATGTACAAATTGCAACAATGTCTCCAACCAGCATGAAAATATGATGGATTTGACTGTTGAAATTCATGGGGATGCTGCATCATTGGAGGAGTGCCTTGATCAATTCACAAAAGTAGAGTTGCTACATGGCGATAATATGTACAAATGTGATGGGTATGTCATCAATTTAGTATTTTGTTCATACAATACCTAATATTAAATAACATGACCGCTGCCCAACCATTTTTCCTAGGTTCATTATGCATTCAAATTCATTCTTAATCTTTTCTTAGAATAAAAAATGCCTTCATTTGGAAGGTAGCCCTGATCTGTAACCTTGATTGTTCCTAGCTGTTATCTAGGGGCTAGTTGATGACTTGTGTAGGGTGACTCACTGCTTACATTATGAAACTAATTCCCGAGTGCAACGCCCACTTTTTTGGTGGGTTTTAACTAGGTTAACTGACTTATTAGTAATTTCTTCTTCTTGGTGTTTGGTTTTCAATATAATGTTTGCTTTTTGAGTTAGGTTTTAGACCAATATACTCATCTAGTTTATGAGGGCGAAGGGACATAGCATACTTGTTCTGTAGTTATGTGATAGAGAGGTTACAGATAATGTTCTTAGTTCATCATTTATCCCCACCCCCACCAAAAACTAACAAGAGGAGAAGAACCAAATGTCAATTTTTGTTATTGAATTATTTATTCTGTCATTATTTTACATGTAAGTCCACATTCTTACGTGACACTCATATTTTTGTGTTTGTAGGTGCAATGACTACGTCAAGGCATCAAAACGTCTCATGGTTAAACAGGCTCCAAATATTCTTACAATTGCCTTAAAAAGATTTCAGGTTGGGTGCATGCTTTCTTTCATGTCTGCTTCGGTCCTTCACATTCTTCCAATATACCTTTATATTTCCCCCCTCCCATCACACTCAGAAAACTGAAAAGGATAAGAGTATTTACATCAAATGTTGCCTGGCCACCTGAATGAGAGAACCTTAGGTTGATGGATTGAGTCAATTAACTAGAATTCATCCACAACGTTCCTTTTTTTCCCGAGTAAAAAAACATTCCTATTGGACCAAAAACAAAAAACGAGTAAGGTGAGGACAACATGGGGTTTTAGACCCAAAGAGAGAACTCCAGAGATAATTGAAAGGCTTCTCAGCTAGTCAGTAACGAAAGGATAGGTTTTTCAGAAAACTCTCTGGTGTTGGAAATCTAAAGAGAGATAAAAATATATTTCATTGCACTCGTCACAAATTTTATTATTTCTTATAACACCTACAAAAACAATATAATTGAAAATTAGTGCACAAAAATGTGGTTTATTTGCCTTCCCTTCATCCACAAAGTGCCCACACAGATTATAGAGATGTGCGATTAGTGTATTTTTTGGCACTTCATATAAGATTTCTTTTGTTAAGTAAAATGTTGTAACGCACATTTTAATTGGTAGTTCATCTATAGAATAGTCAAAGTTGCATTAGGGACCACCATTAATTTTGAATAATAAACAAAGATAGATTTATGTTTTTTTTTACATTTCCTCAAGTTTTTCTGTTGGAAAACCTTTGCAGAGTGGGAGGTTTGGGAAGCTCAACAAGAAAGTAACATTTCCGGAGACTTTAGACCTTAGCCCTTACGTCAGTGAAGCAGGAGATCGTACTGATGTCTATCGGCTTTATGCAGTAGTTGTTCATGTCGATATGCTTAACGCTTCATTTTTTGGTCACTATATCTGCTATATCAAGGACTTCAGTGGAAATTGGTACAGGACTGATGATTGTAAGGTTGGTCCCCTTCTTTTTGTCCTCTCACATAGACTGACTACACCTATTATATTTGCACTTGTTAAAGTTTTGGTAGTGGATGCTAGACGATGCTTATTTGTCCTAGACACGTGGATATGAGTTCATGATACGAGGCAATTAGTTGAAATTTGTAGTCCTTATTTGCAAATCTTGTATTCATGGATACTGTAACCTACAATGGTGGTATTGTGAAGTATTCCCTCATTGATGAAGTTGTTATGAGATGACATTCGATGACAGTTTTTGTATTATCAACAATAAAGGTGTTTTGAACTTTGCTCCCATCATGGAATGTAATCCTTGTTGATGAAGTTGATATAATTGTGGTCATAATGGTTTAATGCATTAGCTTTGATGGCAGTTTTTTTTTTGTATTATTAAAATTTTATTAAAATATATTATATTTTCCCATCTACTATTTCAGCCTAATATATTTTCATTTTCTTGGTTGCCTAATATTCAGGTGACAAAAGTTGAGTTGGAAGAGGTGCTATCTCAGGGAGCTTACATGATTCTGTACTCCAGGTATATTTCATACTTAAAAGGAGTTTATTACTATTTTAAGGCTTGTCAAATGGGTGGAAATAAAATCGGCATTCACTTTGACTCTCTTGTTCTAACCATCCGAATTGCTGCTTCTTTTCAGGGCTCGCCCGCGAACTTCGAGCCTTCGAACTATTGAATCGATGGGGAACAATCATATGCAAAAGGAGAAAGTAGAATCGGATGTTTGTGCAAACGAACAAGTCGAAAGTGCTAAACTAGGACTTGTGAATCGCGTTTGTTCTAATTCCGAGTCAACCGATGGTTGTATACATTCTGATAATTTTTCTGGGTCGCCTAACATTCGACCACAACCGGTGAGAGTGTATTCTGAAGATATGAATGGAGATACACTTGACTCATCTACTTCAAACGGGGTTTCCAGTTATTCTCACAAGCCAGCTTTTAGAGTATCTTCTGAAGCTGTGAGGGAAAATGTCCGCGATATGGATCTGCTCAACGTTGAGACGAGTTCATCTGTTCCTAAAGATATTTCTTGTGTCGGACAAGATTCTCCTTTATTGTCGAATCACAACCCTTTGATAACAATCCCAATTGATACAAGTACAGCAAGGGAAAATGGTAATTGTCATTCAGCTGTTCCTATGGAGGTTTCTTACGGCGAGGACATTTCCGTGAACAATCTTGAAACTGCAAGAGACGATTCAGAAGATACCGAAATGGTTAATTGCGAGACAAGTTCTCTAGCACCAGACATCAATGTTAATGTCAACGGGCACATACATGGAGATGAAACTGTTCGTCTCTCGGACCATACCAACATACAACTCGCTGCAAACAATCAAAATAACTATTCTTTCAATGAGACATCTGCTGCTGAAACCCGCAAGATGAATCCGGGATCGCTCTGTCTAAGTTATGCAAGCGGGACAAACCAAGTGGAGTTGATGGGTGATGTTTAGTCATACTCTCGCTAGATTGTCTTGCTGCCACTCGCTCGGTCATACGTCTCCGATCAACAACCAGTCATCCTTAAAAGAAGGTTTGAACTGGGAATTCTTTTCTGAGGTTTCACTATTAGCAGAGATCTCGGTGTCGATTACACGATGTGAGAGTCGGTAAACATGTCAAAAGTATTGGTTTCCTCCAGTATTATTATTATGAAACAGAGATTAGGTTCTTACAGATTATCTGGATAACTTATTTTAGAATTCAATAGAGATTTAGGTTCTTAGTATTTTTATCCTAACAGAAACTGAAACTCATTTTTAAACGCAGTTGCAAGTTGTTGACCTTGAGTGTTCCTCATGCATTGATTATATATAAAAAAAAAATGTTAGTGAGAATGAGCTTCTTCGCTTTTCCCACCTTGCATTCTATACCCTTGCCAAACTCTTGCTTTCACATCTCTTTTATATTATAGAAACCTGTGTTTGATCGTTAATACATACATATACATATATATTTCTCGTTGGCCAACGAAAGGAAAGAGTGATAGGCGTGTTAAAATTGATGTTAAGTTTAAGAAAAAGTGATTGTTTTTTTTTCCGCTTTCTATACTAAAAATTTGTCCCTGCCATTATCATGATGACATATTTTTTTGAAATAGCAACCGGTTTAACTAAACAATATAATCAAATTGAAATTAAGCTCAAACCATTAAAAATAAATCTAAATAAATAATATGTACAAAATTGAAGCTTTTAAAATGATAGGACCGAGGGACGTGAAACCAAACTCAACCATAGAACTCTATGGTTGATAAGGGGAGTGTAAAAGGCATAAATAGGCGTGTAGTAGAGATAGAGATTAGAGAGAAGTAGTGAAGTGTAGTTGTGAGTTTGAAGTTGTTGTAGGGCATCGAGATCTCTGCAATTGTTTTGTTTTATTTTATTTTTGAAGCCAATGGTGGGTGTGCTGTGTACTCGCCCTAAACCAACAAAAGAAACGTAATTTACGGCTTTTTTTTTTTTTGCCCCCGCCCCCCTCTTTTTTGTTTTTATTTATTTATGTTTCAAATTAGGTTACAGGATTTGTTCCGTTTATCAATGACCTTTTAATTTGTGATATATGTCTCAACCAGTTGAGCCACATTCAAATTGACGTATGAATGCTAAATTTGAATATTTGAAATTACATAGACTAAAACAGAAGGGACAGTTGTAAATATGGCAAAAACATTTAGTAAAATTAGCAAAATAGCAACCACATTTAGTTTTTTCAAGTATAACAATTTTTTTTTTAAAGAACGTAGGTCTAATTTTAAAATGATAATTTCACCCAAATGATATATATTTGTAATATAATCTTACTATTGATATATGTATGTGATATACTACTGATATGAGTGTTTGATATACTTGTAATATGCATATGATATACTATTGATATGAGTGTCTCTGTAATATATATGATATACATTTAATATACTACTGATATGAGTATATGATATACTACTGCAATGAAAATTTTTGCTATATTCAAAAATTTTAAAAACATTGCAATTTCCCAAAATAGAATAAGTTCTAAAATTATATTTTAACATTCAAATTCAAGTTTAGTTCATAGCTTTATGTCCAATAGGTTATAAATTTTCAATGGTGTGACTAATTAATTTATGAGCTTTCAGAAGTGTTTGTATTTAGTAGGATCGTAATTTTCAATTTTGTATCTAATAGATTATCGAACTTTAAAACCTATCTATAATAAGTCAAAAAATTAAAAGTTCAAAAATCTTATTAAGTACTACCTTAAAAATGAAGAGATGTATTAGACATAAATTTAAAAGTTACGGAGGAAAGTTAGAGTTTAAAGTTTGTTTATAATATATAATGTGTTGTCTACTACTCTCACCCGTGGGTTTTAAGATTCTGGGCATTTTGACTTTGAAGCAAAAGAGAGAGAGAAAGAGAAAAAAAAATGGCATTTTTTGAGAGTGAGATTCCCTCTACGAGGAGAAGGGTGTCAAAGCAAAGGCAAGAAGTCGTCTGCTTTTTGGGTGTGGAAATGAAATGTCAGCAAAGCAAACAAAACAAACATCTCCAAACAAAACGCCACAAAAACAAAAACAACAAATTGGTAACATAACAAATAATAATGCATTAAAAACTCTAATTTTTTAAAAAATAGGGTTGTCTTTGAAAATGAAAACCTCAACTTTCTCTTACTTTTAGGCAGAGAGAGAAACAAAGAGAAGATTAAAGTAGAGAGAGAGAGAGAGAGAGAGAGAGAGAGAGAGAGAGAGAGAGAGAGAGAGAGAGAGAGAGAGTAGGCAGAGTCACATGTGGGAAGGCAAGGCATGGATTTTGTTTCGACTTTGGAGCCAAGCCAACCAAGCAAATCAGGCCAATAGTTTCTTCTATGATAGATCCACATAAACTTTTAATAAAATTTTCTGTGTCTAATAGTTTCTTTTGTGCCACTTAATTTTGAAAACACAAGGGAAAAAAAGGCACGTTCAACCTATTATTTACGGATAACGTGGTGGGTTGATTTGGAAGATATTTGAACGTTTGTGTCGTAGGTATTAAACTAATAGAGTTGATTATATTGACGTGTAATTCTATTGAGCTATTGAAGTCGACCACGTGAAAAATGAATGAGCTGACGAGGTATGACGTTAAGCAAGATATAACTTGTAAAAAGGAAACAAACATTAGTCAGGCACGAGTTTAAGTATGTTGTTCTCTAGGTAGAATTGCGTACCTGAGTGAGTGGTGGAGTGTCTCCTTTATAGGCATCAAGAAGGAGAGACGAGGCCATTGGAACCTACCTTACCTACGGTTATGGACTGTCGGGTCTGAGGTCGGAATCCTCAGGTCGGTTAAAGAGAACTTGGACAACTCTCTAGCTGGGTTTTGGGTCTTCAGCTCAGTCTTAAAGGTAGGTCGGTCTTCTTTGGTCGTACCGAACTGAGTTGATTGGTCCACGTGTCATGTTGTATTTTTTCCTCCAACAAAATGCATGGACTTATAAGATATAAAATTGAAAGTTCAATACTTACCTGCACACTAAATAGAAGCTTCTAATCAAATTTTATTGGTCTATTTCTGTTGCGTTTAATAGATAAGTAGATACTACTAAATTTTTTTAGTCAATTCATAATTAAGCATTGTATCCAACAAACTATGCTCGAAATGGCAAAATTTGGTACTATAATCGATGTCTAAGTAATATTTTTATAATAAAATTAAGGTTTACATACTATTTTGGTTCACATACTTTTGGTTCGATTCATTCTAGTCCAGGTACTTTGAAATTGTTTATTTTGATCCTAGTGATTTATATTTTTGTTCATTTTAGTCATACTTGAAAAAAATGACTGATTTGATATTTATTTACAAATATTTAACACAATGAAAACTCTTTAATATAAATTTATCATTACATTTCAAAAAATTCAAGGAGTGTAAATTCATCGATTCTCCCTCAACCTTCACTCAATCGAAGCTATCAACTAACGAGTAAAGTTTATCTCAACCATCCCTCTACCTCAAGGCAACACACTCTCCACTTTCTTTCATTCCTCTCTTCTAGATTCAAGACAACGAACTCTCAATCCTCTGTTTTCTCGACCAGCTCTCAATAGAAATAAATAAGATAAAAAAAATAATGAAAAGATCAAAATAGTAATTTCTACAAAATTTAGAGACTAAAATCAACATTTAAAAGTTAAAAACTGAAAGTATAGAGACCAAAATGAACATCTTAAAACAGAACACCGAAGTGGAACTAAAATAGTATTTAAACAAACGAAATTAAAAAAAGTGAGACAAACCCACCAACCGAATCCAAAGCCAAACACTGAAGAAGGAAGCGAGCAGAGTCAACTCAGGTTCGCTCTTTTTCTCTCTCTTTTGTATTAACAATTAAGAATCGTATTCTCTCTCTCGTATTCTTTTGACATTTTTTTTCTTTTGGGTTTTGCTTAATATCCGCTCCGCTCGGCGCTCGTGTATTGTATTGTATTCTCTTCTCCTTCTGCGTGCAACAAAGTGTCAACGCCTACAAAAGCCGCTTCCCCCGAAGCTTCCCTCCCCTCTTCCTCCATAGCCCGCTTTCTCTTTTTTCTCTTCCCCTTTTCTTTTCCCCTCGTATGCTTATGCTTCCCTCTTTTTACTTTCCCATTTTTCAGCCATTTATAAGCGCCCCAGATACCCCACTTCCTCTCATTCCTCCTCCTTCGCCGCTCCCACAATCACAGGTGCATTTTCTTCTTCTTCTGTTTTTGTTTGTGATTTCTGTGATTCTGTTGTCTCCATGTGCTTTGTTTTCACGCTGTGTAAGTTTGTGGGTTTTGCTTTGTTTGTTCGTTCAATCATTGGGTCGGAGGGTTTCAGATCCGCGGCGGCGGCGGAGGTATCTGCATTTGCTTCGCCGCCGGACCCTGTGCCCTGATTTCTTCGCTACCCACTACGTTTTCTGGATCGATTCGAATTTCTGTTGTTATTTTGGAACCCTACGTTTCGAGGTTTTAGTTGATGAATCTCCCTCTAAATTGGCTCGATCGATCCACTGATCAGGGTTTAATGGTGGGTTTCTCATGTGTAATTGCTCGCGCCAACACGGGAAGTAGAGAAAACAGGGAAAGAAGGGAAATGGGGGTTTTACTTGTTCTTTTTCTTCCTTCGGATTCGATTTGAGATTCTTAACTCTTTTAGGGCAATTGGGATTGGTTATAATTAGCTTACGATTGTAACTAATAGATTTTTGTTCATTTGGTATTGCAGTGATTTTTGAGATATTTCTGCCAAAAATGGAGGTTGGTGATGATGCTCATGGTAATTTGGGGGTGACTCGGAAGAGGAAGAGAAGTGATGGGGAAACCAACACGTTGAGCAACTTCTCTCTGGATGATCTCAATCAAGACATTCTCGAAAGGGTGCTTTCGAGGCTACCGACCTCGGCGTTCTTTCGACTTTCTTCAGTGTGCAAAAGATGGAAATCAGTTGCAGCTTCTTCGAGTTTCAAGTGTGCGTGTTCGGACATTCCTGCACGTGACCCATGGTTTTTCATGGTTGATCCACATCTCAACCGCTCGATTGTCTTCGACTCGACGGAGAACAATTGGAAGAAACTTAACTATCCACCACTCCTTCAGAATCGCCATCTCGATTCTATACCTGTTGCAGCCTCTGGTGGTTTGATCTGTTTTCGCAACTTATGGGGCAACTTCGTTGTATCCAATCCTTTAACTGGCTCATGTAGTGAACTTCCTCCAGTAGACCTTCACCAAATGGGGCAATCTCTTCATGCCATTGTGATGAGCGGAGACCCGAACGGTTGTAAAGGATCTTACAAGCTTGTGTTGGTCTATGGCCAACTTCCTAAGCTCCGGTTCAAAGTCTACCGTTCGACCACGGGTTGCTGGGACGATGATATTACATTGAGTAGAAAGGTTGATGATTCTATTGAATTTAACTTAAATGATGATACTGTTGTGTACTTCCTGAGCAGAACAGGGAATGTAGTGTCCACAAATATGCAGAGAAGCCCTTCGAAGCAATACTCGTCAGTGATTACGAACAAAAGCGGGGACAATATCGTCTATTTCATAAGCTCCTCCGGGACTATCATGGCTTGTAACCTGAGCAAGAGATGCTTCGTGGAGTACCCCAGGCTGTTGCCTGTTTTCTCAGAGTACTCCATCGACGTGGTGGAGTGTCGAGGTGAGATGCTAGTTGTTATGTTGTCTGAGTTTCTTGAAACTTCAAGCCTTAGAGTTTGGAGGTACGACGAGGAAACTCGAACTTGGCATCAAATTGCAGCATTGCCTCCTGCAATGTCCCACGAGTGGTATGGCAAGAAGGTCGATATAAACTGTGTCGGTGCTGGTGACCAGATACTCATATGCATGAACTCGAACGAGCTTTATACATATCTATTATGCGATCTCGTCGAGAATCAGTGGACCGAATTGCCGAAATGCTGTACGAATGGTGAAGCTGTGGAGTTTATGTCTGCCTTTTCATTTGAGCCTAGGATTGAGGCTTCTGTATGACATCAGAAGGAAATAACATCATTGAAATTTGACCATTTGTATTTTAATTAATTCTGTAAGCTTTCATATTTGTTTTTAATTTTTTTTTCTTCTTCTCTTAGCTGACTTAGCTAATGGAATTCAAGAAGTTTGAGAATAGAAGGTGAGAGAGAGGGAGGGAGAGATGTAGATTCTTTCTTAATAACCTGCCGGTTAATATCCAAATATTATGCCAATTTTACTGTTCATTTTGAAACTTTCTTGTGATTCTCAGTAGATGAAGGCTGTTATTTACAGAAGGTAAAAAAAAAAAAAAAGGTTTTGTTTTTGTTGCAAATCAACTGTTCAGTTGAGAAGTTACCTCAATTCTGATGAATTGCAGCATAAGGTTGTACCTCAACTCTGAAAAAGTGCAGCATGAATAGTTAACCTCTGTATTGGTATCTAGTCAACAAACCATTCTTCCCTATTTAGTTTTATCAATTTTAAACTACGAGATCACCATTTTTTTGGTACAAATACAAGATCACTTAAAATAGTTAAGAATATTAACTTAAATTAATTTTTCTTCAAAATTAAATTAGAAAATCATCTGTAAACTAACTCATAAAAATGCATAATTTAATTAAAAAAAAAACGCTCCAAATCAAGTTACAAAATATTTAAAATCAATTTTAAAAATACTCAAATTGAGTCAAATGTTTGGCCATAAATATATTTTTTTAATATGAAAATTAAATAAAAAATTTGCCCACTCTTTGAAACTTTGGTGAGTATATCATGAATGTACGAGAGGAAATGAACATGCTCAAAATAGGCTTTTTTTCGACTTCAATGAGATTGACGTTATAGTAGCTCCGTGGATCCACCCAATTTTTACAAACTTTCAATTTCATCAAATTACATCTTGAACTAAGATACATGTTGCAATAATTACCTCGAACTTTAAAAAGTACTGTAACTTTTATATTTTAATTAGTTTCCGTTTGAAAATTTGTTGGAAAAAATATTTTCATTATGTGATATTTGGTATGAAATTGATAACCAAGGATTAAGACAAAGGACACTGAATTTGGTTTTTTCTTTTTTTTTTCCTTTAAATTTATTAGTTTTGACAAAGTTATTTAAAGGTTCATTTTTATGTGCAAAGTTTGACTTTCATTAGCGGGTCTTTCAAAATTTGTACAATTTTTTATTTATTTATCAAAACTAGAGGTGAATTAGAGGCTAAAAATTTTATGGTCATCCTTCAATTCGATGAAATTTAAAATTAGGGTTCAAATTGATGAACTCGTCCATGAAAGTTCAGGGTTAAAGTTCTAAAATTTAAAATAGACTCGACAACGGACAACCTAATGGTAAAGTTAAGAAAAAAAAAGAATCCCTAAATTTAATAAAAAAAATAAACAAAAAAGATGAATATCTTCAACGCTACGGCTACATCCACGCGCGGGGTCTGGGCCGTCTGGCGGTCGCGGATCGTCTATAGCGTAGCGTCGGCTGGGTCGGATTTGTGCCTGTGGTTACCCCTTCCTCAAGAAACTTCTCTGATTCGTAGAGATTTCGAGTTATAAATTCGTAGAGAGCAGCGACAGAAGAAGGAGAGGAGAAATTTTCTTATCAGACAAGGAAGAACAAATGGAATCAGAGGATTCAGTGAGATTGAGATTGGAGGAATTGCACAAAGACTTGGGGAAGAAGCAGAAATTCGAGGAATCAGTTTCCACCATCGTTTCGCTTCTTCGAGATCGCTATCCTACTGCTTCTCCTTCGCTACGCAAATCGGTCCGTCCTTTTTCTCCTCTTTTATTCAATTTGTTCTCGATCTTAGTTCATTCCAATTTCCTAGATCCCTTTGTAGGCAGTGGTACCATTTCGTGTGAAATTGTTTCATTCTGCTATTTTTCATTCGAAATTTGTAAAATGGGAGAAATCTTGTTGGTTCTTGTTAGTAGTAGGGTGATATAATCTGTCTTTTCAATCTGAATTTTGTCTGTGGAGTTGAATTATTGAAAATCTAATTGTTGATGGCAGTTCTACTCCGTAATATGCCGAGCTGCGACAGTTCTGAAGACGAGGTTTACAGCCCCAGGGTTTTGGCTTGCTGGTCTCAAGCTTTTCGAGTTTTCTTTGACTCTGCTTTCTGATCATTCTGAGAGACAGCACCTGCAGGCTTGCGTAGCTCAGGCCAAGGAAATTCTGCACCAAATTGACAATCCATCTCAGCCTCCACAAAGTTCTTCATCGAATGGAGGTACTGCTGGAGATTCTTCTCCCAATAAGAACACACTTTTTCATTGAAATGGTTGGATATTTGTTTAAATGTAAGAATTAAGCTGTGGTTATGTTGATTCAGGCTATCTTTTTGAGGGCCATCTCACCGTTGATCCGGAACCGCCGCAGCCTCAGTGGCTGGTGCAGTCAAACCTCTTGTCGGCCGCTGCAGCTACGCTATTGAATGCTGAATCTTCTCAAGCTCCGGCTGAGAACAACAACACTTCTGAGAACGCTGCTAATATTCTTCAAGCACTTATTGAAAATATAGATAGTGTCGTAGATGAGGTAATCTTTATTTCCCGTCTCTAACGAGTACTTTCTTCATGCTTTTCTGAGTATAACTTGTTTAAAATATATAAAAAATGTTAAATATATCATAATATTTTAGCTCAAATCTTTTAGTTTAGTCCTAATTTAACATGGTATCATAATATGAAATCGTTACTTTTAACCCTATAATGTCACTCCTTCCCTAATCGATATTAATAATTCACGTCTTGGGTTCTGGAAATCAATCTAATATATGAATTAACACCTATCATCTCAAACTTTTGGATTTAAGGAATCATGCTCGGAAGTAAATCAAATATTTCTTCAATCGATAGAAAATGAAGGATGTAAATTGGATCAACCTCACGGTTCTAAAATAGTTAGCAAATTTGTATGAGTTGAATATTGTGACCCTTTCTATGTGATGTACTACTTTGTGGATATCCGTAGAGATGTGATAGTTCAATCTGTTGAGCATGATGGTAAGCTTTGGCTGTGGGATTCTGACATTTTTGAGTATTGCTGTTATTTAGAATTCAGTCAAATAGTTAGGAACCATTTGAGTAGCTATCAGCTAGTTTACCATAGCATTTCTCTGTCTATTTAGTTTATGGACACGGCTAGCGGACCGCCAAAAGTCCCTCCTGCGAGTAAAGATGTTGTCGCAAAACTTCCTGTAATTACTGTAACAGAGGAAGTTCTTGCCAAGCTAGGAAGAGATGTAGAATGTGCCATTTGCAGGGAAAACTTAGCTGTTGATGATAAGATGCAGGAATTGCCTTGCAAGCACACATTCCACCCACCTTGTTTGAAGCCGTGGCTGGTAATCTGCTAACTTGATTGATGTCTCTAAATGCTTAAACCTAGTTCTTTCTTAGTTTAATTGCATCTCATGCTTAAGATCCTAATTTATTATAGGATGAGCATAACTCTTGCCCGATCTGTCGCCATGAATTACCCACTGACGACCATGCTTACGAGAGCTGGAAGGAGCGAGAGAAAGAGGCCGAAGAAGAGAGAAAAGGAGCTGCAAATGCTGTTCGTGGTGGTGAATTTATGTATATTTGAATGGTATTTCAATGTCTTACCAAGTGATGTACAATAGGTTAATTCATACGTGATTTTTCTGAGACTTGATGTTGAAGCTTCAGATTTTTAGTTATTCTTTTATAGTAAGAACTATAGAATATAGTTTTTCATCTCTGCCTATAATGGTACACTATTTGGTTCCCTTGATTGGATGCTAATGATTTGTTAAGGTATGGTAGCAACTACGCCTAGCTTATTTTAGAATTGGGGAAGATCATAAACTTGTGAGAACAATAGGAGGAATTTTCCAGTCCCCAAAAATAAGTTCATGTAGGCTTTATAAAGGGCTTGTTATACCAAGGAGTGATATTAGATGCTATTCTCTAGGCTTGGTAGGTATATGAAATCCATGAATGGTGATCAAAATTGGTGAAGTTTGATTAACTAACAATGTAAATGCATGATTATAAAGGATTGACAATATAACTCAATCCCCTTCCTAGGCCGAGTTGATGAATACTTCGACGGTCAGTCGTTTGTGCCTTCGTAAAGGACAAACTAATTAGTTTGGATCTCAACGATCGACCTTCATAAAGGTTGATTGATGATTATTGGATGTTGCTGCCCTTAACCATTTTTTCGACAATACTACGATATTATTCCTCTCACTGGGAATAGATAGGACTTAGATTGACTTGAGCAGTCAAAACTTTCTCTTTTATGTGCAGGTTTTGAGCATTTGTCAGCCTATCCAATCCGAACTTCGCGACAATCATTTTCGTGATTAAATACATCGGTTAGGAAGATGATGAATTTATAAACAATAATTTTCCTAATAGTGTTAAACGATTTTTTTTCCCTTTTTTGTGGAACTTCAAAGAAAATTCATAAAGGAATTAAGTTTACAACTATTTAAAATGGAATTAATTTTAAAATAGTCCCAAATATTTTATTAACGAGATAATTTTCAATAAATAATTTATTAAAAAGTTGACTTATCCATCAAACAGTCTCTTAAAATTCTCTTATCCATCAAGTATATATATATATTAATTATTTTTTTCAAACAACATTGTTTTAAAATAAAAACTAAAAATAACAAAATTCCAACTTCCTTTCGGACCTAATAAACTTGTGTAGCTGAATCAGGCAATTTTCCAGCCCGCCTTAATTTCAAGGAAAGAAATGTGGCCTCGTGGCGGAACCATTAGCATTCACTTCTCCTCGTTCCTCTAAATATTATAATCACCACAGAATTTTGGTTGCAACTTCCAGTAGCGCCGGAGTAATATTCCTATTATGGAGACGTTCGTCGGCTCCGGCGCCTGCGCCGCCATCTTGTCGTCCTCTTCTGCTGTCTTTGGCGGCCGACGCAGATGGATTCTCCTCCCCAGCAAAATTAACAGACGCAAATGTCCTCTCAAGAGAGGAATTGAAGATTGTTTTCCACTTTTCGCTGATTTTTCAGAGCCAACTGCTGCATTGGTCTCGGGAACTTCTCATGCTTCTATGAAGAGGATGGCCTTGAATGGATATGCCGGAAGAGGTGGCAGTGGCTATGGATTTAGCGGTAGAAATTCGAATATCAATAGGATTTACAAGCGATTGGAATCTTGTTTGGTAATACCGCCGCCGAGGGGTAAGCCGCCCCGCGCTATCATCAAGTTTCTCGGCGGCGCTTTCATCGGAGCAATTCCTGAAGTCACTTACAGGTTTTTCTCAAATTTCTCCGTCGTATTGATTGTTATTCTTCGTCTTCTTCTTCTGTGATATTTTCTATTACGACTTGGATTTTCGCTGCAGCTACTTACTCGAGCTTCTGGCAAAGGAAGGGTTTCTGATAATCTCAGTACCTTACAATGTGACTTTCGATCATGCCGATGCTACAAAACAAGTATTTGAGAGGTTTCACGCCTGTTTGGATACTATTTTAGCGTCCGGATTGCCCGATGAATATCTTTCATCTGCTCAACTCGTTAATCTTCCTCTCTTTTGTGTGGGTCATAGGTGAGTCAACTCGTGATTATGGTCTTCACTACCACAGAGAGGAATGATGTGCTAATTTCGTTCTTGTTCTTTAATGGTAGCAATGGTGCGCTTCTGCAAGTGCTCACAGGGAGCTATTTCGCTGAGAAGTTACCTAAGGTTTGGCTTGCTTTTCTTCTGGTTTGTTTATTTAGTTTGATTGTGGTGGAAGTGGAGTGGGACACAACTGACAAGCTAATCACTATGGCTTTAGCATTTGAGATGATATTTCTCTTATCAATTTGTTTGGTGTGACATAACATTCTCATTGTGGAAGGCTAATGCTATAATCTCCTTCAACAACAGGCCGGCAACAGAGGCTGTTCCTTACTTTGAGCAGGTAAAGTTGGCATTGTAAACTTTTCTATCTTTTGTTGGATTTCGTGGTTTGTTTGCTTGGGCTTATGCATGCTCCATAGTATCAACTCTTGTTTACTTCTAACGTTACCTTTTATGAAAAGGCTACCAATTTCAATATCTGAGGCAATATTGCAATTACCTTAGGAGATATTTGTTTAGGTTAGATTGTACAAAAAGATGAGTTATAAATTCTTGAGTTAACCTATGTTTGATTTGTTGGTTTCTGATCTATAAAAGTCAGTATGTCATTGAAAATGTGAGTTTCATAAGTTTGAGTTTGTGTAGCCCATGAGATCAGTGAACTTGTAGCTCGAAATAATCTAATCTACCGATTATAGACTTGATTTCTTAACCTTGGATACACATCTAACATGCGAGCCAAACAGAATACTTGTGTTTTTTCTTTCTGCTAGATTCAAATTTGTTCTCCCTTGGAGTAGGAGTGAACAAGGACTGTAATGGTGTACAAAATACTGCTTTTGCAATTGTGGATGGTTCTTGTTTTCTTTGGAATTTTTTTTAGTTTTTATGGATGATTCTAATGATCTTTCTGAATGAACATGTTTTGGAAAATTTAGCAAAGAAATAATCTTGAATTTTAATTATAAGAGGGGGATTAGGTGTGCCGTAGGGGGTATCTTGTTCGGAGTGTTCATTACTTCATTTATTCTTTTGGAGTGATTTGTTGATCTTCTTTCTTTCATGTCTTGCTTCCTTAAACTAATTGAATTTTTATAAATCAGCAGCCAACTATCCATTATTAGGATTTGTTTTGTTGATTTCTTTTATGTAGGGCATGCCAACATCGAAGAAAATAGTGCATGACTTGAGTCTTGATCAGCTACTTTATTTTATTTTTAATTGAATATATTGAATAAAATGCTGCTCGTACAGTTGGGCCCTCTAACCAGTCAGATGATGCCAGTTGTACAAGCATCTCCAGTTTTCTCAATTGCTAGTAGTGTCTCAGGTAGCACACTGACTAAGCTTATGCATCCTCAGTCAGAAATTTTGATCTTCGTCTTGGCTACAGTACCAAGTTCCTGTGTAGTCAATTATACGTGTGTATAAAATTTGAAAGGACTAACCAGCCCGACTAGCTAGTTTCCAACACCATTTATTAAATTAAATTCAATTCCTACTTGCTACTTGTGTATAAATTTCTTTTTATTGAATCATGAATAAAATTGTTTTCTGCCATGTATGTATCTTTGATATGTTTGTTCGTCTCTGAAACTTTCATTTCTTGACCTTGTTCATATGCAAGGGGATGCATGGAAGATGTTGCTTGATGCTGCTGGAGCTATTATTCCGGACAGTGATCAAGAAGTCTTGAATTCTGTGACCAAGTTTGTTGATCAGTTGCCCTCAGTGGTAAACCAGGTAATTTTGTAATCCTCAATAAATTTCATTGCCTATCAATCGAAATCTTCATTTCTCGTTTGTATAGCACATGTATGTGGAGGTCAAATAACATTAGTTTAGATAACTTGGGGATGCATTGAACTGAATTTTAAGCTGCATGTGAATGCAAATATATATAAATTGTGCTCAATTCATTAGGTAACAGAAGGGGTATCAGAGTTCAGGCCAACGCCATCCGAGAATCGGGATCTCTTCAAGTGTTCTTACAATGTCCAGCACACACTCCTGGTAAGCTAACTGTCATGTTTGGATTGTTGAGTAAATACATGCTTCTGGTTTGTCTGACATGTTCTTTCCTTTTAGGTGAAGTTCAGTTCAGACCCGATCGACGAGACAGATCTACTCGAACAGACACTGAAGCCTCGGGTCGAATCTATTAATGGCACGCTTGAGAAGGTCCAGTTAAGTGGTAACCACATCACACCGTGCGTACAGGTACAGTTCCATAGTTCTTTCCCCAGTTATTGTATTGAAGTTTTGCCGTGATCACATATTCGAGAGCTCCTAGCAATTGGGTTATGTGATTAAAATGCACAAGCCATCTCAATAAATGGTTCTCGTTCTAAACATAAGAAGACTTGCAATAATATTTTAGCGCTGGTAGTTGAAAATATATTACACAATTAATAGTTTAAGCTTTTCGATATTTGAAACAGCAACTATCCTAATGATAGAGGCAAGAACAATGTTCAGGCAAACCTTACTATAACCAACCTCACAATATATTAAACGATCAATAGTTTAAGTCTTTTAGATCTTCGTCTTGAGTTCAAATTTTTGCAATATTGTTTTCTCGCAAATGAAATTAGTATCTAGATCTTCTCTACGATTATTGAGAATATTAAAGTACTCTAAACTAATAGGTTTTATTTGTGGTGATTTAGCTTAAGCAATGGAATAAGATTCTTTCCTTTTTCTCTTCGAAAGCCCGGTTTCTTATTAAAAAAACGTGATGGAGTAAGCTGCAAAGTAAAAACAAACTCAAAAGATTAAAGAACTAGAAAATGAATTCAGTTTAGCATTGTTTTTTCCTCCAGATTTCATACTGACTTCTGAAGATGTTTTAATGTGATCAGGAACCAAAGTGGGAGGTAGGTTATTTGTACACTCCTGCAGATGCGGTTGCTCAGGCCCTTAAATCTCTATCTCTGAATGAGATTAGAGAGCTTTCTAAAACCTTAAGCAACTGGTTCGGACGATTTGAAGCCTAAGGTTTGGGTATTATCAATGCTTCTGTAAACATTTCTATCTTTTTATGAACTTTTTCAGAGAGTCCCAATCATATGCAAGGTAGAAAAAAGTCGACGAAAACTTGACATAGCTCAACAGTTAAGGTATTAGCAACATTTTTTTATAAGTTGAATGTTCAAATTACTACTCTTAAGCGCTATGCATTTGTAATGCTATATTCTTTAAAAATGTTGATTAGGAAGTAGCTTTAAGAGACCATACTTATCATTTTGATGGATGTTTGTCTTAAAGGGTTGTTTCTTTTGATGTAAACATGAATGCTAAGATGAATACACCCTACTAGTATTGATTTTGTAATGTGACTTAATTGTTACAGTTTTTTCCCATGTTTTTTTTAGGAGATTTAAGTACGTTAAATTAGTCGCTCTAGTTCTCTAGTTCTCGTTAATCAGGTCGAAGTTTCAATTTTCTACCTACCTCTGTTCGAAAAGAAAAACAATATATAATCATTACAATTTACCACCACAAAAAGTACAACGTAGTTTTCTAATTATGGAGGTACTAATATTTAAATGAATCTCAAAAACAGTAAAATTTATTAATTTAATTGCCTATTTAAGTTCAAATTCAAATTATAATTTAATCAATAATTAAAATTAATTTGCTGAATCCCTCTATTTTATCGTCCCTTGGAGTTTCTTATAGAACTAAAAACATACCGATTCCAAAAATGTATGAAAATATATAAATCAGCATCCATCGTATCACATTCAAGAGCAGTGAAACTTATATTAGTATTGAAAATATACAGATTTTGAATTTGCATTCACGATTATCAAAAGTAGCTATATCATGGTGTCACATTAAAAAACGGTGATAAATTTTCTTTGTAAAGTTGCTCAATCTTCTTGTTTAGGCTCCAAATTTTTAACTATCTTATTTTTTGTTTTTAAAAATTAAGTTCTATTAATAGTACCTATATTTATGTATTCTTTTTTTTTTATTTGCTGTCCACTTTTTAAAATCGGTTTTAAACTTTATGATAAATTTTGAAAACTTAAAAATAAATTTTAATAGCTCGTTGTGTTTTTTTAAATTGAGTTAAGAATTCAAATATATTTTAAAAAAATATGGAAATAAAAAACATAATTTTAAAAATATAAAACTAGAAATAAAATCGATCCTCAATGTTTTTGTTTTTTTCTTTTTGTGAAAATGTATTAATTTAACCTCAAAATTATTAATTAGAAGCGTACTAAAAAAAGAAAAAAGAAATTCGCGTTTGTGAGAGTCAGGGAGAGAGCGAAGGGCAAGCGCGGATAGGGCGGTGAAGAACATGGGTGGGTGAGGTCAGAATCAGATCATCCGATCATTTATTTCAATTTTCGTCACTCTCTTTCATCAATTATTGGTAATAATTCATACTATTGTCTGGTTCTCAGTTTAATTTCATGCAGTTGCATTGTACCTGATCGCGTCCATGGCTTCTTGGACATTGGGGCTGCTCTGCCGCCGCCTCTGCCCTTTGGCTTTGCCTTTACCACCAACGGAAGAGCCTTCTCGGCCTGTGACGTCGGCCATTGCGGCGAAAACACATACAGATACAAGGCATGTTTCCTTTGCTCTTCTTCCGATGAATGTAGGGGTAAAATTAGTTCTGGAGGTTGATCTTTTAACCTTTGGCCGTATATTTTACATTGAAATCATTCGCATCATCGTTTTGAGTTCAATTTTATATTAATTTCATTTGGTCTAATTTAGCAGGGTTTCTGTTGCTGTTGCAGTGGTCGATTCAGTGCTTTTTTTTTTTTTTTTTAAATTTCTGAGATAGAACTCTGTGATGCCATGCCTCCTATTTCCTCGACAATGCAGGAATTGGGATTGAAAACGACTTTGATCGGATTTCGTATTGAAAAATTGAGTTCCGGCTGATTTTGTCCCAAATGTATATGTTAAATAGCAACTTATATTTTGGATGCTTATTATACTGTTAGTGCCGACTGACTAACCTTTCAAACTCACAAAAGCCTGGTTGGACTCGGATGATTTACCCTTCAAATCTAGTGCGGAATTTTCAGTAGACCATGTAAATAGTTGAATTGGTGAAATTATACTTAAATTATGGCATTTTTTCCTTTTTATACCCATTTGTTCATGGGGATTTTTAAGTATACTTGATTATATTGAAGAAAGTTCAATGAAGGAACTTGAAGTAATTGGTTACATCAAAGGTTCAAATATCTTTTCTTGACATTTATTTTTTTGGATAACTAGAGGTTGGAGTTTTGCTTCTCTACATTCCCCGCACCCACCCTAAAGTTTGGACCTGAGAGGTATAAAGAGTTTTTGTTATTAAGAAGGTTATAATTTGGGACATACCTCAAGCCCTTGCCAATACAGCTACCTTGGGGAGAGATATTTTATAAAGATAAAATCAAAAACTAAAATTTTACATTCTTTTTATTGAGAATATTATAATAATTAAAAAAAACTTAGAAAAAGTTTATTGTTATTTTTAGGTACCAACAAAATGACATTTTGGCTTCTTATTATGCAAGCTCCGGCCTGCCAAATTGGGCGAACCTTGTAGTTCTAGTTTAGAATTGGGAAAGAGAATGAGACGCAAATACAAGGACAAAATTCTAAGTGCCGTTCATGGGTGGTAATGGATAGGATGGTAAGAAAGAAGAATAATTCCTTTTGCTGGATTATTTTGTGAAAGAATTGGAGTTAGCGCAGTTCGGACTTTATTATGGGGTCTTTGGAGAGCGTAATGGTAGATTATTTTTTAACGAAATTCTGTTTCAATAGTATACAACATACTACTTTTTGGTGATTACAAATTACAAAAATCTTTTTTGTAATTATAGCTTGGACTCGGCTTTAAACTATTGAAAAATGACTATTGTTTAGTTGTTGAGGAGGGTTTTCTCAACCTCAACCCTTAGATTGTCTCGTTCTTTTATTTCGGATGGAATACACTTCTGTCTTTTATCCCAAAAGAAAGAAAGAAAAAAAAATCCTACCCACCACCAAGTTTTTGACAGACGACGAAGTAAAAATGGAAGAAGGAAAAATAAAAAGACAAAATTAAGGAAAAGTACAAAAGAGCTTGAAGGCCTAGGCTAGCCTACTGCATTGGCCGCCTTATAAGACTTGTTTGGAACGGCTCGCCGCATAGTGTAATCGGTGCAGAATTTAAAACTCCACCTCGTCAATCCTCATCTCTGTTTCTCTGCAGTCCCTTCCACCAAGCAGTTGCGGGCTCTTTTAAGAGCAAAAATGAACTCTAGAGACCAAATCCCTCATGGACAACAGAAAAAACAGGTCAGAAGGAGACGCCAAAGCCGGCGGCTTTACAAGGAAAGGCCTCTCAATATGGCCGAGGCTAGGAGAGAGATTGCAACTGCACTCAAGCTCCACAGAGCATCAACCAGAGAACGCCAACAGAATCAGAAACAACACCCATATTTTGAACCTGAAGGAAGAATGAAATCCAGGAGAAACCCCAGGATATACCCAGGTTGCTCACTTTATTTGGATAACCGATCTGATTTTTCTCATGTATCTTCTCCTTCTCCCAAGGCTATCTCCTTGCCTTCCTGCCCAGTTCCTCCTACACCTATTTCTCAGAATCTCAATATAGAATTCCCTATACAAACCTTAGGACTCAATCTCAATTTTCTTGATTCTAACACTGTGGATACTACTTCTGTTGTCTCCAACAACAGCCATTCATTTTGTTCACTTTCCTTCTTAACCCCATCTTCATATCTTTGCCCCCCTGTTTCTTGTGCTGCTACTCGTCAGGAAGTTGTGGAATCAGTTACGTTATCTGAGGGAGGGAAGTTAATAGCTTCTTCTGATGTGGATTGCTCCAATTTCCCAAGTGGAAAAGACACGCAGGGGGCGGTGGAAGAGAAAGAGGCTGTGGCTGAGAAGGCCATGGAAATACACGTTATGAAGGCTTTGGAGATTGATGGTCACCATAGTTTTGATAAAGCCGTGGAATTTCCAGATTGGTTGAGTATCAATGACGACTTTCTGCAGCAGCATTCCAATCATCACTGCGCAGAGGATTACGTCCAAGATCCTGACCTTTCTTGGTGAGAATTGAAAAAAAGAATTAAAAACTTTATTTAGGAGCTAGCTTTTTCTACAGTTACAGTTTCATCTTTTTTTTTTCTTCTTTTTTTTGGGTGTTTATATTTTGCATTGATGTACTGATTTTCTATTTTAATATATATATATTTGGCTTTTTCAGCATGGAAATTGGGGAGATTGAAGATGTGGATGGAGATTGGTTAGCATGATTTTTGGGTTTATCTCATACCATGCCTTTGAATAGTTAGGAAGAAATGAAGATATTCTCATACCATTTCATCGAATGACATTTATTCTCTTTTCAAAACTCATTCATCTTCGCATGATTTTCAAGCCATGCAATTTGGTAGCTTTTTGTTTTTGTTTTTTTTGCATAGGAAGAAGTATTCTAATGGTGGGGTAGGAACTTATAGGAATTCAAACTTTTGACCTGTACAAAAAAAGGAGTTCCCAATCTCATAACCATTGAAGAATTACATCCAGTTCGAAAATGTGATAACTAACCAAGCAAAAACCAGATATCCAATCCGAACTTGTTGACAATGGAAACACAAAGACACCTTTATATTATAGAACGCAAATGTAACAGCTTGCAAACAGATAGAAAGTGTTTACTTCCTTAATTAGCAAAATCTAAGTTGACTATAGAACTTTAGTTCTTTAACAAACAAGCCTTCATGGGGTTGTGAGAATGCTCAGAAGGGAATCGGGTATCTGTCGACGCAGTCGAGCCATGGGCTGGTGGCTGGCTTGCGGTTACGCCGCATGGAGCGCCAAACCAAGCTATTGCACTTGAAGCCAGACCCAAAGGCCAGCTGCCAAATCCGATCTCCAGTATTGACCCTGTCTTTGGCCTCCAAATAAGCCAGCTCGTACCATATGCTGCTGCTCGACGTGTTGCCGAACCGGTGCAGCGTCATTCTGGAGGCCTCCATGTTCCTGTCGCTCAGCTCTAGGTTCCTCTGCAGCTCCTTCAGCACACCCTCGCTGGCTGCGTGGACGCAGAAGTGCTCGAATGCTTGCTTGTAGTCTGGAATGTATGGCTTCTTTGACGGGTTCAGGCCGCCTCCGCTGCCGGAGGAGGAGGAGAAGAATTGGCGCCAGACCAGGGTGGCGAAGAAGAGGAGCTGCTCGGAGAAGGGTAGGACCAGAGGACCGAGTGTGGTGATGTTGGTTTTGAGAGCTTCGCCGCCGATTTCCATCAGGTCTTTGCTGACTTTTAGGCCTTTGAATCCTTGTTCGTCTTCTTCCTGGTACACGCACCTGCATGCCATTTGCCACCACCCACATCAAAATACCATGCATGCCATTGCCACACTCAATAATGGGTTGACTTCATTGTTTCATAGGTCAACATTTATTTCATACAATTATGATGATTACTTGTTCACTTACATTTTGTTTCATATTCACTTTAATCATCTATAAATAATTATTTAAAAGAAGTGCTCGTGCAGTTTCGCCAATCAGAGTAAAGGTTAAAGCATATGTATTCATCTATGAGATTGAGATTTTGAATCTCCACTCCACGTAATGTACTAAAAAAAGGAAAAAAAAATAACTAATACAATTTCAAATACATTTTCAAATACATGCTCATATCAATATGTTTGTATTCATATAGTTAAACTGATGTTATTTGGTTTGGTTGTTTTTCTGAAGGTTGTGAAGCTAAAATAGGTAGTTTTAAAATTTCAAAAATCAAAATAAATTGAGTTTAAAATATTTCGAAATAATAGAAAGAAAAGAAAAGAGAATTCAATGTTTAATTATATGAGCAAGAGGTGGGTTGACTTGGGTTCAATTCTCACGTGCCTTTTATCCACCTCTCAACTTTTTTTTTTCTTTTTAAGTAGAATAATAGTGGGAATGGAGGATCTTAATTGCTTAGTTAAATTCATGTTTCTCAACCTTTTTTAAATAATTACGAAAAGAAAACTAATTTTGGAACAACGAAAACGGGTGACAGTTCACAAAGATAGCTAGTCAATCATTTAGTTTAGAGGGTGGCAGATGATCCAAATATTAAATGCACCCCTTTGTTATGGACTTGGAATTCAATTTCAATTAAAATCCACCTACTTCCACGTTTTCAGTGGTCACATTTTTCGTATGACATACCCCATTTCCCAATATAGAAAATTTTATATCCTAATTATTTTAAAAACTAGAGATAATTACATAAATAATATAATAAATATATCATGAAGTTTAAAATTTTGAAAAAAAAAAATAGCATAACTCAAATTTTAGTCAAACTTGTGCCACAAAAATAAAAAATTGTGACATTTTATAAAATATATATACAGCTGGACAACATAAAAGGCCCCAAGGACCTGCCAAAGTTTGATGGTTGGCAGTTGGATGATATAATGGGCCTCTAAATATACAGCTAGACGACAACATACAAAAGCCCA